TGAACACTACCCCCATCCGTCACGAACAAATTGTGTAGGTTCCCATAACCATACACCCCGTCACGACCAGTAAGGTCCTGAGCACACAGCAGAGGAGCCGGTAAATAAGGTCCTGAGCACACAGCAGAGGAACCTCCAGGTATACTTCCTCCAACATTATTCCCCCCAAAATAATCATATTCCGCTTATAACGGATATATGTATATCAAAAATTAAAACATAATTCAAGTCAAGTACAAAACAGAGTCCATGTCAAGTATTATATAAAAATTCATATCAAATATCATATCAGAATCCAGGTCAAAATCAGATAAACTATTTATATTATAGTTTAAAACAGTAAAATAACACTGTCAGGAAACACACCAGTAACAGTCTGAGAAATCAGATAGGGAAGCCTATTACTGGGTCTGTCGATCACGTTCTGCTGCAGCGCTAGATCCTACGAATTGGAAAAACCCATATTGGAATCCTAATATAAATAATCTAAATATTATTTAAATAATATACTGAAACCTACGGGTAATTCTCGTATTACGCGGTTCAGACTGATCTGACGAACGGATAACACCGGACCTAATTGATCCTTGCTCAGGTGAAACACGAGTACCTTCATAAAATATTTTGTCGAATCAATTCCTTAACCAAAACTCTTAAAAATAATCAAAACATTAAGATACTAAGCCTTTTTGAGTTCACATGCTCGATTTGGGAATTTTGGGTCAGAATTTGGCAAAATAGACTTCGGAATCAAACTCAGGACGTCGAAAAACATAAAGTATGACCTTCTAAAATTTCGAATTCTTGGTCAAAATTAAAGTCAACGGTTTTGACTGACAATTTGGAGACTTTCGGGTTTGAATTTAGCAAAACGGACCCCAAAAACGGATTCGGGACGTCGAAAACTATCAGGATAGGTATTCTCGGTCGAAAACAAAGGTCGTTTAATAGCCGGTCAAAGCCGGTCAAAGTTCTGGTCAAAGTAGGTCAACAAACTTTCAAACATTTTACACAAATAGCACCATTTTCGAATTAATTCCCAAAATATTATTTTTTTTTCTAAAAATTACTAAAATAGCACCCATTTCGAATTAATTCCCAGAATAGCACCAAAACCGAATTAATTCCCAGAATAGCACCAAAACCGAATTAATTCCCAGAATAGCACCGGTCAACGGGTCGGGTCAACGGTCAACGGGTCGGGTCAACGGTCGGGTCGAGTAAACTGGTCGGGTCGGGTAAACGGGTCGTGACCGGTCAAACCGGTCAAAACCGGTTCAAAACCGGTTAAACCGGTCAAAACCAGTTTCCAGTGTTCACTCGCCTGCGGCGGCGCGTGTGGGCGCGTGCGACGTCCTCCGGGGCTCTAAAAATCACGGAAAAATTTCTAAAAATTATTTTGAGCGATTTCGAGATACTTACAAAGATCGGTTCAAATTTTTGAACGGCGGAGAGCTCGATTTCGACTCGGCCGAATCTTTGACTGATCCACCTCCCCACGCGCCGCCGTCAACGGAAATCGAGGATGACACCGGCGGACTCGGAACGGCACAAGGAACGCGATGGTGCGGGAGGTGTCGTAAACAGAGCAACGATCAGCGATGAATTTAAGATTTTCTCGGCGATTTAGCTAAAAAAATACATCGAGACTTTGACTGGAAATTCCCGGCGTTTGGCAGCGTTTCGCTTCAATTAATCTAAGGGATTTGTTCCTCGCTCGATGATGAACACGATGGTGTTTTCAAAACAATGATCGGAGGTCGGACGACGTCAGGATCGTGGTTGAAAGTTGAGATGCGTGGGGGTAAAAACTTAGCAAATTGTTCTGGTATGAAACCAGAATCAATTTGCACGCATATAAGAAGAAGAACAATCTGCCGACACTCCTTGGCATTATTCAGTGATTGGTCACTGAATTTCCTCCACTTTTTAAAACATGCTACAAGTTTTAAAAACTTCCAATTAAATCCTCAAATTTCACCAATTAACTTAATTAAAACCCCAAATTACAATTATATATTTTTTTTTCAATTTTTCGGATTGTTACACTCCCTTTTATAATTTATTGCACGTTTATCATCATGTTTTACTTTATTTTAATTTAGTCACTGCTTTGTTTTGACATTTATTTGAAATTGGTCATTTATTTTTGTTTTGTTTTAATTTCGTCACTTGATGTATTCTATTTTATTATTTATTCATGAATTTGATGTTGTTATTAATTTATGCATTTTAGTCACTGTCTATTTCTGATTTGGCTATGTTTTTTATCTGATTACATCTTGGTCCCCATATCTTATTTATTTTTGTTTATTATAATTATAGCTTAACGTTGAATATATTCATTGTGGTCACTCTTGCACTTTGTTTATTTGTTTACATTCTAGTCATATTTTCATTTTGTTTTATTTTAATTTTTGCATGTTACTTTTAGGCTATTTTATTTTAGTCACTAAGTAGTTTTGTTCTATATTAATTGGTATGAAACCTTATAAGCATTACTTAACTCTAATCAAAATAATTTGACTAAGGGTAATATTCATTGATTTTAAGATTGTTGTAAAGTGATTATCTTAACGTATAAGAAGGTTAGTTTCAATCATTTTAAAATGAAAGTCTATCCCATTAAGTGACACGAATTAAATTGAATCTATTTTAAAATTTGGGGATTGAGGAAAATAATATGTTATTTTAATTAAGTTCACCGAGGAAAGACTGTTAGATCGAATCTAAGGCCTCATCTCGATGTACTTAAATAATTGAACATCCTTATTCTCATTAAAGGTTGGTAAAATTAATAATTAATTGTACTTGCTTGATGTATGCTTTTAATTTGTTTTATTTTTGCATGTATTTTTCAATGGGATTTCAAAATAAAAACAACTTGAATTAATGAAAATAGTAATATCTTTTCATTTCAGTTGGAGTAATAAATGATTGCGTTAAGGCAGGAGAGGTTATTTATTCTTGATTGGAAATAATTAGATATTATCGTTTTCTCTCGAATCAATATTGAATTTTAAGATGAAATAGTGATATCTCTTTATTTCGATCAGGGTAATAAAAGATTGCTTTAAGGCATGAGAGGTCATTTATTCTCGATTGGAAATAATTAGATATTATCGTTTTCTCTCTTAGAATTATTTTGTGTTGTTATTTGAATTAATATTGAACTTTATGATGTGATTATAATATTTTATTTTTTCGATTGAAGTAAGAATCGACTGGTTTAAGGCATGGGAGGTCAACTCTTCTATATAGGAAGTAATTAAATATTATTGTGTTTCGTCTTAAAATCCAAAGAATATTACTTGTATGGGATATTAAATTAAATTAGACTCAAAATCTTAAATTTCATGGCAAAGACAACTAATTAATCAATTATATACCAATTTAGGGCGATGTGGGGTGCTAATCCTTCCCCACGCATAACCGACTCATGAACTCAACATTTTGGTAACACATGCCACAAATTTTCTGTTTTAATTCAAATGAATATTTTTTAAAATGACAAATACTTTTTGGGTGCCCAATCACACCCTAATCAAAGGTTTGTGGTGACTCCTCTAATCACATTTTGCTATTAATCGATCATCAAATTATTAGAAACGATACCTTTTAAAAAATCATTTTGATAGCTTGGCGACTTCGCTGGGTACTTTTTTAGAGGTCAGGCCGATTGTCAACTAATAAATTGTCTTTGTAAATGAAAATTACAAGTTCGTTCTAATTTCGTTTTTTGATCCCTTGTGTGGTTTAAACAAATTTTCGCTTGCAATTTGATTAACCACTAAATAGTTGTATTGATTTGTTTGCTCATGTTTTCAAATTAAATAATTGTGCAAGACTTTGAGATTTATGCTTCGTGTTGTTTGTTTTGTTTTCTCTTTTCCTTACACACTGGAGAGCTGCATTTGCATTTGCATTTCCATTATAATCATAATTGGATTTCTAAGTGAAAGAGACTATCTTCATATTTCATTCTGTTTCTCAGGATTAATTTTTTATTTGCAAAAATTGGTTTACTACAATATTTAATGTGTGATAGGTAAAATAATAATGGGGGTTGAAGACATAAACTTTTGAATAACGTATTGAAGCCAAAAGAGGATTCGAGTCGAAAACCTAAAAAGGCGGCTCGAATATTAATTTGTGCAACTAGGAAATAAGAAGCAGTCTTACAAATCTCTTTATAAGCATCGAACATACCAAATGTGTCCTTGAGAGTTTGAAACCAGTGAGTATCTGTAGAAGATGAGCATAACAACCACTTCATCAATTCGTGGGACACCCAAAGAGCTAGATATGCTATAATAAAAGGCCAACCTGAGAAACCTTACCTTTCCAGAATCAACCTATACCTCAAATTTGTCATCAATATTGACACTTGTCAAAGGGCTATAATTCTTTTAGAATTAAAAGAGTAGTTGATTTGTTTGATACCCAATGAACTTTTGTTTCATAGTTTCTCTCAATTACGAGCACAATGCATGAGGCGCCATTTTTTTAAAAAAATTCTTCATCAAACGTTTTTCACATTTTGAAAAATTGAAAGAGAATAAGAATCTCAAGTGAAAAAGGTCCTTGAAGCTATTAATGCTTATTATGCCTCTATTGGAAAAAAAAGAATAAACGATGTCAGAATAATGAAGCATTCCACAATCTTGAAAGCAAGTAGTCCAAGAGATCAGAAGAGATAGAGGATAGAACTTGTAGCACTTTCTTGTGACGTTGTCCTTAACCTGTCGAGAAGTAGATGACCGCCTGAAAGGGGCACATATCCCAGCTCATAGAAAAAATGCAACAGTGAGACCAGTCAAGGATGAAATTTTGGCACCCAAATAAGGATGAGTCATGAAAATACCCACTTTGGGGCATGACTAAAAACCCAGATCAAGTTGTGATAACAAGGCTCAGACCAAAAAGACATTGAGATTGAGTCTCACAATTTGGAGTGTCAGGGGCAAACCAAGATTTTGAGCAGAGCTTACCTTGTAAAGCAAATCAGTCGAACATCAATTAACGGTAGAGTCTTGGAGAAACGAACTCTGATGGAGTAATTGATCAGTCTTGGAGATGAGGATACCATAAGTGTCTGCATAAAGCCACTCCCCATCACATATCCTAGTCCCGGCAATGGTTATCGGGACATGTTTCTCCCCGATTCCCTTCTTATTGGCCTTCATAGGATGAGAATGAAGTGCTCTCACCCCAATGTCACAACCGTTTATCTCGTCAACATCCCTTACGCAGCCGTTAACCACTATTCCAGCCCATCCGTTATTTTGAGCTTGAACCACGGGGTTGCCTCCAAGTATGGCACACCTTAAACTACCACCCCCATCAACAACTAGAACTCTTCCGTTTCCCTTCTCCTCATGGAACTCACGGATCAAAACATTGTCTTCAAACACTTTCAGTGTAACTATAGGTCCAGAGAAGACCGGGCGACGACCATATATTTGGAATATTGGCAGGAGGGCCCGAAGTTCACCTCCCACAATTAGCTGTGGATTTGCATCACACACTTCAGCAGTTGTAACCAAAGCCATTAATTACAGACACTCCTTCAAGGCAAACCAACAATTGAAAAATAGTATTAAGGCCGAGAGAGATGAAGATACAATCACATTTTCTCAAAATTAGCTTGGTATAGAAGCAAAAAAAAGTATCTTAATTACAGAAAAAAAAAGCTACGAAACAAATATGAAAAAAGATAAGCTTAGAAACGATGATAGAATGCATCCGCAAAGGAAAATGAAAATACAGTTTACCAAACAATCCAAGGACCAAAAGAGCTCTCCACTACATATCACCTTCACCAAAACAATCAATTCAGATTCGGAACCTCTAAAATGATAAAATTATGAAGGACAATCATAAACATTTAAGGGTGATGAACCTGGGAATCAATCTACTTGATTCATGCAGCTACTCTTAAAAAGGTAACAGTTTCCTTTATAGAACATGTTCCTGAACAACCAAGCATTAGTCATATACAAAACTATGAAACACAATAACCAATTTCTACTGTCATTGCAATCAGAAAAGTTCTCTAGTATCTTATGCCCAAATCAAGAAGCATGAAGAACCAGGGATTTAAATAGCGGCCGTTATATAGTGGTAAAAGTGTCATCTGAAACCATTATTGGACGGTCGACATACCCACAATGACTGCAATAGCAGCCGCTAGTGCTGCAATAGCGATAAACGCAACACAACCGAAAACCCACTCCGCTATTTAAATACATGTGAAGAACAGAGCAAAAGTCCTAACATTGAAATCCAACGAAACAAAAACAAACCATCCACATTTACACAGCTAAATCGGAGAAAAACACAAGCAAAACCAGCAATAGTGGAGGGAAAAATGAAGCAACTACAAGGAAGACCTTAAGATCCATTATTTTGAACAAAATATAAGAATGCGATTCAAATTCTTCACATAAGAAAACCCATTATGATTTAATAACTTGAAGTTTTCGCCTATATTAATATTTATCAGATTCTTAATCACACCTTTATGATCTATAACTTTTATCTTAAGTTCTTGTATTTATTATCATAATCTTTTGATCATCGTTCAGCATATTTACACATAATGAGTGAAACTTCTAATCTAAATAAGCAGATAAAAATAACCCAATTCAAAGGACTGATTAGTTTTGCAAACACCATCGAATCAATACAATAAAAAAGCAAAACAAAGAAAAATATAAAAAATTATCAGATAACTGAAAATTGGGAAAAAATCAAAGTGTTAGATTTTCTTTTTTTACCTAGTAACTGAGCTTGTCAAATAAGGATTCAAAAGAAGATGCAAAGTGAAAGTTGAAACAGAAAGTTTGCTGTTTCAAAGGGAAGGAAATAGTATGTATGGCTGCTAAATCGCGTGATTGTTTGCTTTTCCTACATTTTTTATTTAATTTAGTATTACTTATTACTAGTTTTCCAATTTCGATGAGATGGTGACCTGACAAACGTTTTGGTAATAAAGTAGCTAAGCACAGAGTTTAATATCTAAATTATATTTCAAAATACCTTTGGTCTTTAGCTAATGATAGGTAGCTGACGTTTTCTTTAAGTAATTATAGTTTTTTTAATATATATTTTCAGGTGATTATCATTATATTTTTTAATTTTTAATAAAAAAATTATTATTTAAAAAATTAAAATAAATCTAAATTTCTTCCTCGTATCATCCCTCTCCCTCTTATCTCTCACCACCGATGACAAAAGGGTCATTGATTAAGTTTCGTTCGAAACATTACGAGATACTTAACGGTGGTGGTTGTGACGTACGGATGAGTATAGCCATTAAAATCTCCGAAAAACAACAATGAAAAAACTAAAAATCTGGCAACTTTTCATGACGTTTTTCAGAATGATCGGTTCAGTTTCACGGTGAATAAGAGATTGGATTTTGGTTGTAACGAAGAGACAATTCTAATGGTGTCAATAGTGACAATCACGAGTCGACGGTGACCAATCGACGGCAAAAAATGTAAAATTTGAGTTTTTTTGGTTTTTCTTTAAATTACAATATTAAGTTTTTTAATAAAAATAATTTTTGAAAATTTATGTGTGATTTATGTCAAATAACGACTAAATTTAATAGTCGTTATGATCCAAACACCTAAAAATATAACGTTAAAAATATTAAACACCTATTGTTAGTAAAAGATTCTTTAAGCATCAAAATCGTATATTTTTTGCACTAAAATTATATTAATCCTTAGCACAAAGGATTTTTTTTGGTAAAGTACAGCAACACTTTCTAAACTATAAGTTTTTATCATTTTGGTCGATAAGCTTACAATAATCATTAAATTAATTAAACCGTTATAAAATAATCAATGTTACATTACTTGTTGTTAAAGGATGACTTGATACTTCAACAATATTTAATATCTCATTTTTTTATTAATTATAATGAAAATTTTATTATAGTATATTTTCAATATTTTAAATAATATTTTTTATAATAATTATAAATTTTAAAATATAAAAATATAGATACTTTTAAAATTATAAAAAAATTAAAATTATAATAAAAGAGATAGGGTATTAAAAAAATTTATAATAGTTAATCGATATAATCGTTACATTTAAGAGGTTATTTAATCAAACAATTAATGCTAAACGGTTTCAGTTAATTGAACTGCTAAAATTAATAGTTAGCAGTTAAGATTCGATTACAAATTTTGATAAATTTTTAACCAACAGTTAATCATTAATAAATTAAATATGGAAAAGGGTCATTTTTACCTCTGGAGTACACTTAATTTAGCATTTTCGCCCCTATCATATTTTTGAATCAATTTAGCCCTCAAAATTATTTAATTGTATCATTTTATACCCTAACTTAAAACCATAATTCTAAACATTAAATCCTAACCTCTAAAACACAACCCTAAACCTTAACCCTAACCCCTAACTTAAAACACTAAACAATAGCAAATATTTTAAATATTGATGCAATTGAACAACTTCGAGGGCTAAATTGATCCAAAAATACGATAGGGTCGAAAATGATAAATTAGGTTTACTACGAGACAAAAGTGACCCTTTTACCATTAAATTTATAATTATATTTTTTAAAGAAAAATACTAATAGAATTAGAAGTAAATTTTAACCCTACTCCTAAACTTTTAGCCTTGTTCCTAAAATTTATAACTGTTTATTTTACGTGTTACAAAAATTTGATGGTGTATTGAACTATTTGTAAAATATTTACACAAAAGTGTATAGAAAATATAATTTTCTATAATTCTAATTTATATAGTTTCAATAAAATTTATACACAAATAATATATATATATATATATATATATATATATTATTTTAAAATTTTTATTTATTTAAAAATATAAAAATATACTTACACTAATATAATTATGTGTTTATTGTTAGGTACCAAGATATTGAGATATATATACTTACACCAGTGTAAGTATGTAACACCATCTCCTGTATACCCTTCCGTATATGAGATACAGATGTCACATCACTATTATTACTGTTCCTCATTCTAAAATCCTAAAAATTTTGTTTCTAAAAATAAAACATTTTTATATAATAATAATAAAACATACATTAACGTAAATAGAAGAACAAAAAGAGATGTTTTAACACCCGTCATTTTACAAAAGTTTAATATAATATTATTCAGAGCGTTTTTAATAAAGCCTATTACATGCCAACTAAAATAGATCAAAAGTAGACAGGTATGTCATACGGTTACTGATAAGGCGACTCTGGCTTGGATGTCCAATGATCTCCTTACTCAACCTGTATTCAACCTACGCATGAAATAAACACCCGTTAAGTATTACTTAGTGAGGCAAAAATTCATCATACAATGAAATCAATCTATATATATATCGTTATTTTTATTGATGAAATCTCAATTCATTATTTCCATTCATTATCAAATCTTTGTAATGCACCCGTAGTGCCGAAACAGTTATTCATTCCACATAGGAAGAATTTCGTAAAATGCACCTATAGTGTCGAAACGACTATTCATCCACGTAGGATGAATTTCGTGAAATGCACACTTAGTGTTTAAACAGCTATTCATTCCACATAGGAAGAATTCTGTGAAATGCACCTATAGTGCCGAAACGGTTATTCATCCACATAGGATGAATTATGTGAAATGCACACTTAGTGCCGAAACAACTATTCATTCCACATAGGATGAATTCCGTGAAATGCACACTTAACGCCGAAACGGTTATTGATCCACATAGGATGAATTTCGTGAAATGCACCTATAGTGCCGAAACGGCTATTCATCAATGTAGGATGAATTTTGTGAAATGCACACTTAGTGTCGAAACGTCTATTCATTCCACATAAGAAGAATTCTGTGAAATGCACCTATAGTGCCGAAACGGTTATTCATCCACATAGGATGAATTCCGCGAAATGCACACTTAGTGCCGAAACAATTATTCATCCACATAGGATAAATTCCGTGAAATGCACACTTAGTGCCGAAACGGCTATTCATTCCACATAGGATGAATTCTGTGAAATGCACACTTAGTGCCGAAATGGTTATTCATCCACATAGAATGAATTTCGTGAAATGTACACTTAGTGTCGAAACGGTTATTCATCCACATAGGATGAATTACATGAAATGCACACTTAGTACCTATTTGGTAATCACCACATACATATTAAATAATCATACATATATGATTAATACAACATGTAGTTACACAATTAAATGCACTCACTTGGCTCTCCTTGCTTAGATATCCAATTTGGAAAGATGATTACTCCGGGACTTGGCCTTTGCCTTTTGCTTTACTCGACTCGGGAACTTGATTTCGATCTATTTCATATTTATTAAATACATGCATAATATCAATTGTTAGTATATTTCCTAACAATTATACTTAAACATTAATCAGAAGTACCTATTATTAACCTTTCTACAACAATAACAACCTATTTTAAAATTTCTGGCTCATCAGTATCGATACCCATACCATGGTATCGATATTACTATACGATGGTATTGATACCCCCTTCCGGTATCGATACCAATTTTAGATTCGATGTTACCTGGTATCGATACCCTTACCATGATATCGATACTACCATACTATGGTACCGATACCCCCTTCCGGTATCGATACCAACTATAGGTTCGATGTTGCCTGGTATCGATACCCTTACCATGGTATCGATACTACCTCGTCGGTATCGATACTGATTGAATCAGTATCGATACTACTCAGCTAATTCATCCTATTTTAATCTATAGTATCGGTATTGTTCTATCAATATAGATACCCTTGCCAAGAATTTCCAGTTTTAAACCCGAGTTTTACCCAAATGAGGTCAAATTTCGTTATATTAACACCCTACAATACTATGAAACTCTTCTTTAACTATTCATACTAAATTTCATTCATTTTCTTCTTAAAACATCTTCCAAAAACATTAAATTCTAAGAATCAAACAACTTTTCCTAATGTGTTTTTAATCCAATCCAATGCTTCTAATCTCTCATTTACCTCTATGACAAGTCAAATCTATCATAAAACATCCATAAACCCTTATTTTTCAAAATATCACTCAAAAATCCATTTTCTTCAATCTCTATTATCTTATCCATAACTTAGTTTTAATCCCATTTAATCCTTCCTTAAGCCTTTAGCATACTCAAATCTTCAATAACCAACCGAAAACGAAAGAATAAACTAGCCATTTGAAATCTTACCTTTGAGCTATAGAAAGAGCTTTTCCACGGCAAGAAGAAGAAGATAGAGATATAACTTGTGTCTTATTTTCCCTTTTTCTTTATTTAAATACCTTATTAAAATAATTATTAAATTTATTTCCTCCTAAAGGACTAAAATGCCCTCTCTATTGATCTATGGTTACAATCTAGTTTAAAACACTATTCCAATCATTTACTTATCTCTTATCAATTAAACATTTAAATTTTCCATTTTTAAATCTTTTCAATAAAGTCCCTAATTCGATATTTAGGGCATTACAATTCTCCCTTTAAGAAAATTCATCCTCGAATTTAAAGAAGAACCTGAACCAAAGATAAGTGGAAACTGCTTTTTCATATCCTCCTCTCTCTCCCACGTAGACTCTTTCACCTTTTGATTCTGCCAATGTACTTTAACCAACGTAATCCTTTTGTTACGTAATTACTTGGTTTCCTTAGCCAATATCCGTACTGGTTCTTCCTAATAAGTCAAATCTGATAGGATCTCTATTTCTTCAAGACTGATAACATGCGAAGGATCCGATTTGTATCTCCTAAGCATCTATACGTGAAAAACATTGTGGATTTTGTCCATGTTCGGAGGCAAAGCTAACTGATACGCTACGGGTCCAAACCTTTT